ATATCTCCCAAAGTTTGAATTTTGAATTGAGTTGGAGACAAACTTCAACTCACTTATATAATCTCAATCAAATCTAATATCATTTTATAATATAATCATTATAAAAAAAAAGTACATTTATTTTACACTATAAATTATATCATACATTATTCTATCATTTTGCCCCCAATAAGTATGCAATGAGTAATCGAAATTAAATTCTCTGTCATTCGTATATCCTCTTTGTGTATGTTGCTGAGAAACCTCTTCCTTCTCCTATAAAAACCCTTCCTTTTTCAAGCAAAGGAAACGGCTTTTCAGAATCATCATCCAGAGAGAGGGAGAGAGACCTCAATGGATCACAAACCCCGTCTTAAAGACCGCCTCGCTCGCCTTCTCTGGCGACCAGCGCTCCTCCGTTCCTCCACCGCCGCCGCCGCTGCTTTACGTAGCGGGCGCCTTTCCGCCGGCGAAAGCACCCGTAGCTTCTCCGCCGCGGCAGATATTGCTCACGAACCAATCTTCATCTCCCGCAGCCGCGCCGGCGAAGCTGACGAGCTTCACTTCGCTCTACTCCGCCGCTCCTTATCTCTCGACCACCGTTCTCATCGAAATCTCTGCGGCGGGGGGCCGGGCCGGCAGCAGCTTCCACGCCGGCGGTGCAGGGGAAGGAGAAAAAGGAGAGCAGAAAGTACGAAAGGAACGATTTTTATGAGACTGGGGAACTCGAAGAAGTAGATGGGAAAACCTGCACGTTAGTTTCGCCTTCCTTTGAATCTCCTGGGAGTTCCCATTTGTATTACCATTGGATCAAAGAAACAGAGTCGAAGAAAAAGAGGAAGAAGAAGAAGATGATGAAACAGAGGCAGAGAAGTCGATCAAATCGGTATCAAGTTAGCAGCATCTCTTCTTCTTTCGGTGATGAAGGTTTCGGGCTCTTCAGCAGTGAGGAAACTGATACTTTCTTTTCGTCCCGGAGCTTCTCCTCGGATTCTTCAGAGTTCTACCGCCGCCCCTCGCCTAAAAGCAGGAAGAACTCTAGCAAAACAGAGATGAGAAAGAAGAAGAAACACGACGAAAGCTTTAATTTTTCTTCCCGCCGGCGAAGACCGGCGGCCGGGAGAAGAGATGGTGAAACGAATGGCTTCCAGCCTTTGGTTTCTGGTCCTTTCTCTGAACAAACTGAAGCAGAGAAGAACCGCAGAGAAGGTTTCCCTGTTCTGAAAAAATCTAGTGATCCTTACAGCGACTTTCGGAGCTCAATGGTGGAGATGATAGTCGAAAGACAAATCTTTGGTGCTCGAGAGCTCGAGCGTCTTCTTCACTCTTACCTTTCACTCAACGCTCCTGAAATCCACTCTGCCATTTTTCGAGCTTTTGCAGATATAGCTCAAGTTTTGTTTAGTTACTAACAATTGTATCGCCTTGTTTGTGTGTTTATGGCTAGTGGATCTTAAAGATGGGTCTTTTCTTCAGCTTCGATCTCTTTTCATGTCTTTCTTTGGAGTGTAGAAGGAGAGCATGGTTGAAGAATGTATGTAGAAAGTTTGATTTTCTCGAATTGTTAGGTTCTGGAGTTAAAAATGTGATTTTTATGCTGCTGAAGTGAAAAGCAGGATTAGGTTTTATGCTGTTTGTCTTGTTTTAGGTGAGGCATTTTTGATGAAGAGATGTTCCTTGTTTTGCTCCTTTGTCCTAAAAGAAAACAAAAACGCGCGAGAGAGAGAGAGTGAGGGATGGAGACTCTATTTCTCTCTCTTTCGCTTCTTAGGGCTCTTCTTCCACGTCAAGCTTTCGCTTGCTTAGCTAAGCTAGATTCTCTTCTTCTACACGACAAAGGCTATCTGTGGATCTTTTTTGACAGTAGCCTTATTTTTAAATCAAAACTTATTTAAATCGATATGTTAATGTTTTTTATTCATGTAATATTCGATATGACTAAAATCTAATTTCTTTTCCTAGCTATTTCGGCCTAATAGATTAGAGATTTGGCTCTACCACCAAATCACTAAAATCTCTGCCATTTTGGCCTCTTTACAACCTAACATTTCTTTTTTTATGAATCCCGTAGAAAATTTTATTCCAATAAAGAAATGATTATATGATTTGTGACTGATAGTCTCACAAAAAAAAGAAATCGTCAGTCACTAAGTATAACTCACACAAAAAAAAATAATAAATAAAAAATATTATCATATCGAATATAAGGAGTTTCTAAACAATCTCCATGAATAAGAATACAAAGCTTATGAGGTACTCGTGTTGGATTAATTTTGGGACTACAATGTAATTAATAAATGTGTTGGGTCATCATTAAATAAGTCAAAATTATTGTGGTCTAATTTAGAATTAAGTTCATGAAGTTGGGCACATTTGTCATGATATTATAGTGTGGATAC